TCTAAGACGAAACGTCCCGAAGAAGCATGGCTATTTACAAAATTAATTACCCGTTATAAACAGGACCCCATAATCAACATTTTGCTATCACCAGGCTGTATTTTACACACTAGAAATATGTGTAAAGTTGTTGCCGATATATTGCAACAAATACTAAAAATATATCGCGTTTCAAACCGTTAGTGTTTTATTTAAATTACAAATTTAAATAAACTACTCGCGTAACTACAGACAGTGTTTAAATCTTTTAAGTCTTAAATAAAACAACAATCAGAATGTGTGACGTCATTGTTTGGCTCACAAAATTTACTCGAAGCGGTTCTACAGCATTCCTGCATCGAAGGACTCGTAACTACATATTAGCGATATACTTAGCTCATTGCGAAATTAATTAAATTCAAGAGTCCTTTATGCCCTTCAACCTGTGTAAAGGCATATGCGGGCGTTATATGCACAAGTACTTTTCCTGAGAAAATTTCTTAAACTTTTAGTAAGCGAAACGCTGCTGTGGTAAGTACTGGTCTTCCAAGCTTAATATCGTTCATACATATGCGTGCAGAAGAGATTCCACGCAGATAAGGATTTATATATGAGATCAAGAAAGCGGACACTGTTTCCGAAACATCTAAACGATAAAAAACTCAATATTATGTACATATTTAAATAAAGCACTCACGGTTTAAAACACGAAATATATGAGTTAAACTTATGACCCTCAAACAGTATTTCATTTTATGTACATATTTCGTATACTTACGTTTTTATAACAGAAGAGACAGACAAACAGGGAGTCACTTGATGGAGAGCGTTATAGCCAGCTACCCATTAGTCGCATTACACCTTGACAAGCTACGGTGTCGACTTATTTAGGCTTTGTACAATCAAAAAATTTGTATGAAAATATTATGTTGTGTCAGTTAATTTTCCATAACAACTCGATAGTACTAGTCCAACGTGTAAATCAAGTGATAATTGGTTCATAAAGTTGCACGTAAAATGGCTGCATTCGATCGAAGGTCGCCGCCGGTTCAACTGCGAACGGAAATAACCGTAGCTACGGCAATTTCCCGTGCCGTAGAAGCTACCAGAATCGTTGGTCTGGACAAGGCGATCCGTGTCCACCAAGGTTGTGTTTTAGTTCTACCCTCTATTATTTATTTGACACTCATTCTCAAGAAAAGAATTATTAAATCACACTTAATATATTGCCTGAAATTACATACTCTTTTGCCCGGTCGCGTTGAGGTATTTTAGTATTATTTTGACATTCTTTTTCGAGATAAATCGAACTTGCTGTACTGGTCGAGCAGCAGCCAGCAATAGTTGAATGATAATCCATATCTATCGTGTTTAACGACCAAATAAATTAAAAATGGAACCATTTTCTACTCTAACATGGTGATTAAAGAGGTAACTTATCAAGGGTTCAATATAAATTTCGAACCGGCTTCCACATAGAAAACTGTTCAGTAAAAAAATACAATATAGGATCTATATAATATTAAATGCGAGTCGACAACCCATATTCTGTCCATTAGATATCGGCGACTCAATTTATCAGTCCGTAGAACGCAATAACCCCTAAGGGCGGGTGAAGATGCGCTCCCGGTAACAATTTGCGAGGAATCCGCCCGAGCCAGTGTGTACGTGAGCCTATTTGGTCGCGGATTAACGGCTGACCCCGGCGGCGGTGCTCGCGACACGGGATAATCGGTTTATGCAGAACCCGTCCACCGTTGGGAGCGCGGATGACACGTGAAATACCACATTTACCCGACTTTTTAGATGGAAAAAGAGGATTTAAGTCAAGACTATAATTTGTTATTAGTAGGAAACAAACAAAATATTAAAACCCTGTATCATCGTCTTAAAACGCAAAATATTCATAAAGAATTGTTATATAACTCTTAAAAAATTAAAATTGAGTTTAGTGATTATCCAAAATATTACTTTTTTTAATGATAGAGGTGGACAGAGAAGCGATCTCCATGCTTCTCACTTGATTGAAAGTGAGCCATACAGCATCTGCATAATACAAATTTCGATGGATATTTTTATATATAATCTAAAAAATAAGCCAAATCAAATGTCTATTAACTAAAGTTTAAACTTTTACAATACGTCTAATTCATGCCTTAATATTTATATTGTGAATGCTTGATAAAGTTGCCTAGCAACGGTTTGAATATATTCTTCTTTAAGACAAGAATCTATTTAGTAGAGTTTAACATATATGTGACTCACTAAATTTGGATCTTTCTCATTATTAACGTTTTATATATGGAATAGCATACAGTAATAAGTATTCAAGTGGAGCAAAGAAGGTCTTGCTGGTCGACAGGGCATTACAGTGTTGGACTTTCGGCCTTATGATGTCCTTCTTCACTCAAGGATCGTGAAAGGTACGAAAATCGATCACCCATACGATATTGCCCTTTACGACGGTGCACTTAGCAGCGCGCACGCGTAACATCGTTACGCCCACTTCGCGCCTAGGTGCGATATTGCGCAACACAAACACCGCTAATGTTTCCCGATACAAACGATCTTATTGACAAGTCAGTATCGGAAACTTGTCTTTGTAACTATCGACGCTATAACTAATCGAATCCGAATATTCGTCACTATTAGTAATTTTTAAACCTTACGCTGTCACGTTTTTTTTTTAACTTTTAATTTTGGAGAATACAACCGATTATGGGAGGATCGTTACTAAACAGGTTACGGTGTTAATGAGAAAGACATTTAAAGAAAAATATGTAGTTAATTATTTGGTGTTACCATTTTTGTGGAGCGTCCCGAAGTAGACGAGCAGGGGACGTACGTATTTATAATGAGCCATATTAATAACAGATAACAAGAACAAGAGGAAAGACTTTTAACGCGTTGGTTGTCATTTACAAACATCGTGTGCCATAGATTATTGGATATCGAAAATCGAATCTGCCCGCTATCGTCAGGGTTCGTTAGGCTACCTAATTTGTAGTAAACCTATTCGGATTTGAAATCAATAGAGATATATGCGTATGAGTATGTTTATTGACACTGTGCAACCGAAAATCCATTGCAATATCGAGATATCCATTATCCACTCCGGCGTGACACGTTGACAGCGGCGAAAACAAGGACCGTTTATGTAGATTTATGTCACAGTTTATTTCGAGATCTGGTCGCAGTCGGATGAACTTGCACTCGGGTGCTCCGATATTTATTTAAATCAACACGTAGCGTGGAAAGCGGTCTTCACTAATAATAAAAGCGTAAGCGTACACAAAGCACGTGTAGGGGTTTTTTATGGGAAATACAAGTTAAGAAGGATAAATTGTATCTTGTGTAACATAAACAAGAGTTAGCTACTGTGTATGTAAGAAACAAACAAGTTTGAGTAAAGAAAGTCTATAAAGAATACTAATCTTTCTACTTAGGTACACGAAGAATTTAGTTAATTATCAATGAGAGGAAACAGGCTGTGAAAATCCAGCTAGTATATTTTCAAGGCATGTAGATGTGATCTACAGCAGAGTCGACTACTAGAGAACAAAATGGTCAAAATAATAAATAATTTCTAAATTTTAATACATCATTGTCAATACTTTATTGTGTTTAATTAGCTGGCGGTTCGTGATTTGCCCGAGTGGTCCCTAGTCTTAATAAGTCTGCGCATTCCTTATATATATACAAAGCACTATCTAGTTAGTACGTTCCAAATAAATTCTATATAATTTCTTATAGTTTTGACTTTGAAGGCAATTTGAACCATCACATATTGAGGTTAGTTTTCACGATCATTGACAGCTGTAACTCAGTAACTTTGTTACTGGTGGTTCAATCTCGTGCCCGGTTGGTAAAGACGAGTGGAGCATGTAACAAGTAAGCGAAACCCGCACGACAGCGTTCACTTTCTCTCTCAATGTAGAAATGATTTTTACATTGGCTAAGGCGTATAGAATAAGAATTCGATGCAATGAAAATATCGTTTACTTGGTTGTCTGGTGGGTGGAGACTAACAGGGCGTGTCAGAATCAGTTTATAATAAAGTAGAGGCTCATACAAAAATCATGTAATGTTTTAAATACCAATTAAATCTGTTTAAGTTAAACTTATTTGGAGCTTATATTAGTTAAACTTACTTAATTATTTTAACTACGGCCCGACGTTTTGGATGCTTTGCAGCAGCCGTGGTCACGGTTATGTGTTCCATTTAATTTTAGTTTGTCATATGTTTCAGAACTAATGTTAGTTTCCTTTTTAAAACCCATCTAGTAATGTTGCGCATTTAATAAATTTAAGTATATACTTTGTAAAAAGAATATGACACTTTTAGTTTTCCACATGAAGGTTGGATGTTATAAAAAAAAGATTATGCCATTTTTTTAAATATACTTTAGGAAATTATATCAAAGCAAGAACGATACTATCCTACGAAGTTAAATCATTTAAATTAACCAAGGTTTTCGACACTCGGCTCCGCGGAAACGACAGGAGACAACATCACGATCTTAATCCCACTAATTGTCGCAGATACACCACTCGGGGTTCCGTTCGATCCGTCACCCTCGCCGTTAAGCTGCTAAGATTATCCGTGTTCAATAGAGCAGCTATCTACCGCTCTCGCGACTTTAATGTTTATCGATAGTCGATTATCACTTATCGATGACAATACGAGGTTAATAATTTTCGCCGATATCGCGCGATAAAGTTATGTCATTGTTATTTTGAATGTATAAAATGTATAAACCGTCCATACAATATCGAATTTTATTGTTATATTAAGTAGGAATATCGAATGCACTACGTAATAACGCTGATCAAATTATATTAGGGCATGGAAAGGAATCAATCAGAAAATATGAGGCCACTAGAGGCAGAGTGGCCTAACCACAAAAAAAAACATGATTTTCAAAAAGGAGCATTATAAAAATGCGCAATCATGTGTTTTAAAAGAAGTAAATTCCCTATCAGAGTTTGTACCAAGTATATATAAAACAATAATGACTTACGGCTGTCTAAGAGCTCCGACGCAACGAGCCCGGTGAGGTCGGGCTCCTCGCCGTACCAGAAGATCCAGAGCTCCTTGGAGGCGCGCAGCGAGAGGGGCGGCGGCGCGGGCACGCTCATGTCGAGGTCGAGCGGCTGCACGGCGGGCACCCGGCGCCACACGCACAGGATGTCCCCGGCGAGGCAGCGCGCGTAGCTGCTGATCACCGGGTCCGCGAGAGGCGCCGAGCCGTCCTCGCCCTCGCCGCCGCCGCTCGTCTCGCCCCATACCAGCTTACGCCATTTTATGCCGTGCAGCTCAGTCTGAAACGATACATTACGATCATTAGTTACTGTAACTTAGCTTCTTACTTATTACACAACACACACATTACAATGAACCAAAAAATAATATCTATAAACTATGTGAGTGTACCGGGCAGCTTTATTGCTATAAAGCGATTTCTTCCAGGCAACCCATCCTAACATTATTATAATGTACAACAAATAAAATTAAAGGAATGTGCAGGATTTATTTTCAGCAGCTTGCAAGAGAGAATCTCCATTTGTTTTATCTCGAGATAAGTTTATTTGTTTGTTTTTAAAGCAATCACATGTTTATTATTATTTTTTAATATGTCTCTTACTATTGTTGGCTTAAAGGGGAATTTCCATTACATTAGGTTCTTGAAAAATTAAAACAATTTATTATTATTAAATAGGTATCCGAACAGGCAAGTAAAAAATATATAATCACAATCACGCGTCACAATGCTAAAATACTAGTCCAAGTTGCGCCAACAATCGCGTCTTAGCGAACATAAAATTTTCAACAATGGCCAATATCGAGAACGCTACAATAATACGTACAATCGGCGTTGGACACTGTTTATTCTGCGGCTATACAAATTGGAGTTAATTGTCCTTTTTTTGTTTCCTCCGCGTTATAGCCCGGGTCGGCGTCGAATAAGTTGTTCGCCTTGTAATTAATTCGATGAATACAGTGCGTCGAAATAAAATTGGCGCGCTTACAAAAATATAACACTTATAGTGTGTTTTCAAACAAACCAACAATACTTGTTACTGTTTAGTCTGTAATTTAATGTGATATATTTAGTCTGCACAAATTGATATGACGTATAAGTCTTTTGTCTATTCTCTGTTGTCTAGAGATGCAATTCATGTCATGTAACTTAAGCAACGTAATTAAAAGTATTTTGCCAAATTTGTAGGTGAACAACAGTTACAGATAGCTAAAACTCCGCCCTTATAAACGAAGGCGTTTAAATGTGAAACTTATAATGCACATTACAATAGGTTGCGTATTCAATTTTCAGCGGGTCCAAGGTGTTTATAATCCAATTACCAATAATATTTCTGAAACACTTTGTCTAGAAATATGGATATTAATTGGTAAGTAAGAATATAAAAAATACGGTGCGGGTCACCACCGTCGCCACCGTTCAGTTAAAAAGGCGTAAAGTTTAGTCGCTTTCGCTTTCAGCCCGAGGCTTACCAAATGCTAAAGGTCAAAATAGGCCGACAGCGCATCTCATTTAGATGTTATAAGATCGAGGTGTTTTACCGACCATCAAGTTACCTCCGTGCTTGTCTATCATCTCTAACAGACTAATGTGGTGTATCCGCAACACATATTGCCACCATGAATCTGCGATTTTCAGCTTCAAAATGCCATCGTGACAAGATCGCTACCTCTGTAATGAGCCTCAACAACCATAACCCTGAGGTCGTTGTCCGGATCCGCATCTGCAGCGGAAGGGTTCGAGTACACCTGGCAGACGCGCGTGGGGTCGATAAGAACGGCTTAAAAGGGGTCGTTTTAAAACACATATTTTGTATTACTTCTTCGGACTAATGTTTTTACAATCCTTGGGCATATACAATGATCGCTCTGGGATGAGTTAGATCTAAAAGACGAAAAAATAAGTTTGTGAGTTCTGACGTAATTGCTTCTTCCTTATTATATTGGGTTTATAGACACCCAATAAAATGTAAATAATTCTAATTGGATTAAATAAGTAAATAGTTGTCTTAGTGCGTCGTATCATCTTGATTGTCTATAGTTTACGCGAGTAGTACACATTTAAATAACAATTTTAACGGTTTAAAACGCGAAGTATTTTAGTTAACTTATATCTGATTTAACTACGACAGCAGAAACGTCGGACCGTACTTAAATTAAATAAAAAAAGTATATAATATAATTCTTGTTTAAAACGGTCATTGAAACGTCATGTACTTTTTACATAAACAACGTTTTCGTATACTTTATAATCTTTCTCTCGCCTAAACGGGTGGTGTATGTATTGTAATGGTAACACTTCCGCTTCTCTTGAGATCTGTTATGTATTAGGGTGTGAAAGAATTCGAGTAAGTTTTGGTCGACGGACGTCGGGGCCGACCGCTTTCTATCGCCCGGTGCGCCTGCGCCGATCGCTTCACTTTCTATTGTGTGACGTGATCGCGTCTTCATCGAAATTCGCATGTATATTATAGAGTAATTTAATTTATAATCGGAGGCTAACATTCTAGTTATTATTTAATAGTAAAAATATTATATTTTTTAGTATCTTCCGTGTATAGATGTGCGTGATGATGGAATGTAAATTTAACTAGTCGGGATAAGTCTATATATTATAGTACAGATTTATTTCATTTAGATGAAAGACCAAGAAAAGTACATAGGTATTCTAGTACCTATGTCTTTAGGCGACCCAATTTTCATCTGGCCATCAAATTTATATAATTAATATTATTTTTTATAAATATATGGTCATAAATTCCCAAGTAACAAGGAATCGTCATACATTAATCAAAATAATTCTTAACCTTACCGTGTCATACTTGGTTTTGTAAAAAAGTTAAACCTCATACAAAGTACTTGCGCCGGTTAAAGCTAAGTAAGCTTACAAGAAAAATCCCGCTTGATCCGGAAACTAAGAGGGGGATTGTCTTCATTGAGGAGCGAACAAGGCGGATATTAAGAGTAATATCCGTCAAAGCCCGCTTAAGCATAAGTTTGTCGTATAAAGTGTTCGGTTATTTGAATTTAAAATGTGGACTGAGTGCGATCTAGTGACCCGGCCACTGGCTTTGAGGCTGCGTCGGAACTCTTCTTCATATCATTTAGTGGCCGACTTTTTCTATATTGATCAATGGCAAAATATTGACACACGCTTCGTTTATAGCGCGACCATATTGGCTTTAGCGTTAAACAATCCGTAACCATGAACGGGAAAAACTGCATCGCCAAAAAAGTCGAACACCGCTAGACAAGAGCGAGACGCACGTATCGCGTGGGAGCGGGAGGCGAGATCGCGAAAGTGAGAGGAGGCGACCGCGACGCGGCGCGGCAACGTCGCACCGGCGCCGTTTACGTTACTAGCGGGGTAAACAATCGAGGTGAGGCGATGTGACGGCGAGATGCGCGTGCGCCCCCGGCCGTGCACTTCGATTACTGCATTTTTGTTTTGTGACGCCACAAGGGGATTAAAATGTTGCACATTCCTTTAACGATTATATTAATAGGGATTTTGTTGTTTACGTAAATGCCTGAATAAAACCCCTTAATCTTTAATAACTATGTAAATGAGTACAGACAAAAGATAATTTGTCTTCCCGAATTAATTTACATATTAATAAATCATCTAAGTATCGCTACATTATAAATATAAACATAATTCAGCAACGAGATTATAATTTGTAAACACCGATACTCGGTTGACCTTAGGAATTTTACGCTTCGCCGTGCATCATTGCATTGCTCAATTTAAAATAAAAACAATTCAATGAATGCAACTAATCATGAACGTTAGAAGTAATATTTACAGCGGTGATCGAGTTTCCGCCGACCACATAGAGTGGAATAAAACAGGTTTCCATAAGAATACAATACATATCTCGTACAGTAACACAGTGCGTGACATAAGCACCGTATGTCGACCACTTCCGCGAGCATCATTATGTGCCGCGCGTTACATTTCACCAGAAGCTCCTTACAATTAACACGGCGAGCAACATTAAAATTTAACAGTCCGACGATAGAGATCAAACTCGCGTGCACTACCAAATTATCTACGCGCTAAACGGTGATATGAATCTTATTAAATCGAGAAATAATTCTTGATTTAACACGTACGGTTATGGAATTTGCCACGATACAGTTTCGCCAAGAGTAACGACGCTGACATTTGACTTTCGAATAAACTTCAATAACCTCGTTATTTTATTCGATGCGTTGCTATTTTCGAATCGACGTTTCGCAATAAAATTATCGATACTCTAGAAACGGGAGCTCGTTCAGGGTTGCCGATAAACATTCTTCCGACATCTAAAAGCACAAGTTACGGAGGGAGTGTGGGTGGCGACAACCGACCAATTACCGTTATACCCCTCTCAATTTTCAGTGCGGACGGAGACGCGTGCGAGCGGGACGCACGATGCGGTGGTGCCACAATAAGCCGTGTCTATCAAGCCGGTTATCTGCAACGTCGAGATGATAAAACAATTACCTCTGACCTGACGCTAACAGCTTACCACTGTTAGATTGTAACGCTTCGGTAAAAATCCATTGCGTACCACCGCTTGGTCAATGTTTTGTAAAACAGATGATTTTCAAAACCCGAGACAGATAAGATAAAAACATAGATATGCAGGCAGTCGGTTCTCGTTAATGTAGCGATAATGCGATTCGACAGTCGATTACGCTGAAAATAGTATCAAAATTAGATCTTCCGATGCGTAGATTGCGTTCAGTGGTACAAATTGCTATGCGTCGAGCGCCCTATGAGGCACGCGCCGCGAATCGGTGAGGTCAAACGCGCTGCGCGGGCGCATACAGCGTCGAGCGAACCTCTACGCTACGAATACATTGTAAATCCTATCATATCGAAATGAACTGTTAACATATTTAACCACCACTGTTTATTTAAAGTACGAACTCGCATTCTCCTAAAACTGCATATATGTAAATATGAATTGTCAGGAAAAGTTTTTTTTACGACACGGTCAGGACTTTATTCGGACCCACAGCGTGGTGCCGTTTTAACCAATTGAGCTACCGTGCCCTACTAATCATCGTGGAACTTTTCAACCAATAAATGCACCTTTCGCGCAATTTTTATTTATTTATATCCATAACTATTCAAATGTAAATTGATTAAAGATTGTTAAACTAATTGAAGTGTTATAACTAGATAATTGTCCGTTCTTTAATTTATAACGCCACAAAGGTAACCAAATGCCTCCCCAAAAAAGTCCCACCCACCGCCACCGTACAAAGCTCGTTAATGAATATTGCTATT